AAAGATAAAGTGGCCTTATTATTAACAAGGAAGTAAAATCCAAAGACTACCAAGGTTAAAGAACATTACACAATAATAAAAGGTTCAATTATCAGCACACATGCACACACACCCCCTATATGTATTGGCTTCTCACAGAGCTTCAAAGTACATGTAGCAAGAACTGACAGAAATAAAAGGAAAAACAGGCCAGGCATGATAGCTCACACCTGTAATCTCAGTATTTGGGGAGGCCAAGGCAGAAAGATGTTAGAGCCCAGGAGTTTAAGACCAGCCTAGGCAACACAGCAAGACCCAGTCTCTACAAAAAAACAGAATAATGAGCCAGGTGTGGTAGTGTGTACCTGTAGTCCCAGCTACTTGGGAGGCTAAGGCAGGAGGATTGCTTAAGCCTAGCAGCAGTTCAAGGCTGCAGTGAACTATGATCACACTATCACACTCCAGCCTGGGCAGCATACCAAGACCCTATCTCTAAAAAAATAATAGAGAAAGTCAACAGAAAATAATAATAAATCTCTAGCATCACTGTCAAGAAAACAAGCTACAAATTACTACTATTATTAGGAACGAAAGACAATATTACTACTAAGACACCCTACAGACAGTAAAAGATAGTTAAGACTATACTATGCAGAACTATATGCACATAAATTCAAAATGAACCAACTCCTCAAACACCACCAAGTATGCAAATTCACTCAAATGAAACAGACAACCCAAACATACTATAAGTATCAAAGAAACTGAATTCATATTTTACAGCTTGAGATTAAGAAATCTCCAGGCTAAATGGTTTCACTGAGAATTCTACCAAACATATAAGAAAAAATAACACCAATACCCAAAGTTTTCAAAAAGTAAAAGGGAGAAAATACAAGAGTCTCATTCAGTTCCTCAGGAGTTGAATGCCATGGCGTCATAGCTCACAGCAACCTCAAACTCTTGGGCTCAAGTGATCCTCTTGCCTCAGCCTCCCAAATAACTAGGAGGCACCTATTACAACAACGTACTATTTTTTTTCTTTCTTTTTTCTTTCTTTTTTTTTTTTTTTGTTGAGACAGAGCCTCAAGCTGTCCCCCTGGGTAGAGTGCCGTGGCATTACAGCTCACAGCAACCTCCAACTCCTGGGCT